TGGTATAGGGGACACAGTGGAGCATGGTATAGGGGACACAGTGGACCGTGGTATGGGGGACATAGTGGACCATGACATTGGGGACACAGTGGACCATGACATTGAGGATATAGTTGAATTTTACGTAGGAGGTACATTTGACGCCTACATCCTGGTGTCAGTCAATACCCACCCGTGAAGATCCGGGTCAGGATAGGTCTTCATCAACCCATGTTTCCCGTAAAAGGCAATTCGTGAGAGGCGACTAACGGGATCGGGTGGTCAGGATCGCTGACTTGGTTGGTGCAGGTCATCGCATCCCAATTTCGTGGATCGATGCTCATGATGTCAATCACTGGATTGTCTGGTCCAGACTCGATTATTTACAGACCGCCGTCATATACCTAGAATATTGCTGAGTGCGGCGTTAACAACAAACAAACAACCAAATAGTCAATAGCCGGATCGCCTCAGTCACAGCAAATCACGACACGAGGAGTGGGTGTGGGTATGGGTGCGAGAGTGGAGGGTTCACACTTAATTTCTGGTCTGCCATCACTTCTATATATGGTCACAACAAAGTGTGGCGCGATCAGGGAAGTAAGGAATGTTATACATGAATACATTGCGATCAGGCAACAACAAGGAAGTTACTTGTCCTCCGTAAAGAATGTGCAGACTAAATAATATGTCATATTACACATATACTTTGATGCCTGAAGGTTTGATTGTTCGTGATACAGTAAGTTGTACGTATACTTCAAAGTCGTCGAAACTCTCATATTTCAGCACATACTGAGACAGTCCTACGTATACTTTAACGTCGTCGTCGTAACTCTCACACTTCAGCACATACTGAGACAGTCCTACGCATACACTAAAGTCGACGTCGAAACTCTCACACTTCAGCACATACTGAGACAGTCCTACGTATACTTTAACGTCGTCGTCGTAACTCTCACACTTCAGCACATACTGAGACAGTCGTACGTATACTTTAACGTCGAGGTCGTAACTCTCATACTTCAGCACATACTGAGACGGTCCTACGCATACACTAACGTCGTCGTCGAAACTCTCACACTTCAGCACATACTGAGACAGTCCTACGTATACTTTAACGTCGTCGTCGTAACTCTCACACTTCAGCACATACTGAGACAGTCGTACGTATACTTTAACGTCGACATCGTCACTCTCACACTTCAGCACATACTGAGACAGTCGTACGTATACTTTAACGTCGACGTCGTAACTCTCACACTTCAGCACATACTGAGACATTCGTACGCATACTTAAACGTCGTCGTCGTAACTCTCAAACTTCAGCACATACTGAGACGGTCGTACGTATACTCTAACGTCGTCGTCGTCACTCTCACACTTCAGCACATACGGAGACAGTCGTACGTATACTTTAACGTCGACGTCGTAACTCTCACACTTCAGCACATACTGAGACATTCGTACGCATACTTAAACGTCGTCGTCGTAACTCTCAAACTTCAGCACATACTGAGACGGTCGTACGTATACTCTAACGTCGTCGTCGTCACTCTCACACTTCAGCACATACGGAGACAGTCGTACGTATACTCTAACGTCGTCGTCGTCATTCTCACACTTCAGCACATACGGAGACAGTCGTACGTATACTCTAACGTCGTCGTCGTCACTCTCAAACTTCAGCACATACTGAGACAGTCGTACGTATACTCTAACGTCGTCGTCGTCACTCTCACACTTCAGCACATACGGAGACAGTCGTACGTATACTCTAACGTCGTCGTCGTCACTCTCATACTTCAGCTCATACTGCGACAGTCGTATGGAGGGTACCTCTAGTCACTACTTCATTACTAATGCGTGTCGTAAGAACCAGCTGAGGAGGATCGGGTGGTAAGGTTCGTTGCCCCGACAGTCGTGATTCAGTGTCATGACAGCGTGAATTAGTGCCCCGACAGACCGTTGCTCATATTTCCGGGTTTTCTGGTCCTGACTCGGCTGTAGTGGTATAAGCTGGATAATTGGACTGTGGTATAAAACAACACTCACTCATTCTGATAGATACCATTGAACTAGTCAAGAAACACAGATATTGCTGCTGATGGGAGGCGACCTTCACCAGTTCCCCCTCGCTTCCACCTTAACGACCATCTGTATTCTTCCCACTGCTTCATCCATCCATTGCCTTGTGTGTTCATCTAATAGTGATACTATCAGCACCATCCCGGAAGTCATAACAGCACCCATTGAGGGACAATAGAATATTTACCCATCAAAGAAGAGCTAAATTATCGGGATTTTGTCCATTGAGCTGACGAAATATGCCAGTAACGGTCTTATTTTTATGCGTACTGACAAATTGTCTGGAATCACAACTACAGCTTATTACGAACTGTTCTTTGGCCGCCCCGGCCATTTGCCATATATATTATGTAACTTTTTTTGTGAAAAACCTTAATCGGCTGAATGTATCTAATTCCACAACAGTGATGCAGAGACATGTTTGAGGGGATGCTTGTTACAACAGACATGAACGTGGTCCAAATAGCACTACCCTACAAACACCGGCTCCAACCTAATACCATAAAATATATACATCGTGACAGAGGGGCATTCGATAGATATTACATACCGTTCGCACAAACTGTACTTACTAACATAGGTTAACATTTCCCCCTGTATATATGGAGATGGGAATACACCGCCACCTGGAGTCTGACGTGGAAATATTCAACCCAGATCAATCACTGACGCAATGCGGGACGACGGGTGATTATACAAACGGTCATCTTCACTGGGCACCTGATGCAACCCCCCACCCCCACCCCGGGGGTGGTCGTGACATAACAACGTGTATGTTAATAACTGACATCACTGTAACCTTGACTGTCTTCCTTGATCCCAGCCCAGGACAGTGTGACGTCATCGACAAGGTATGCTACTTCCTAGTGGTGGTTATAATATATTATCCCACTTTCTCACCGGGGATATCGTCTGTTAGTCACATTCATTGTACATCATTTGCGACGGTTGTATTTGCCAAGAAAAATAAAAATGAACTTATTCATTATTCCTACTTAACACGTTTATAGAATAACACAGGGAGTATGCAATCTACCATATACACATGGAGCCCGGATGTACTGACGTGCCGCCCTTGTGTACACTATACCATGCAGGTGTCGGAGTGAAGACGATGTGCTACATTCCTTTAACAAAAGTGCACTTTACAATAGATATATGGTGACTCAAGTGAACACACCAGGGGAAACATGTATGTTATTGTGACGATTTAATGTTGGTTGCATTAAAACATTTTTCAATTGCCCGAAAACTCAGCTTTTACAGTAAACCTCTCCAGAACAATCACGTTAAAATTATCAATGTGAACACGATAACGTCATGTTAAATCGCACCATAACATTACATTTCTAAATGACATGAAACATGTTCATTAAAAACAAAATGAATTCGAGATTCGTAGATGAATATGCATCAGGAAACACTTTAACTGGCCTGATCATCAAACGTATATTTTTATATTTTTTTAGCTGTGGGTCACGTGACCCCGGCCTACACTGGGCCGTGTTGGTGTAAACTACAGGGGGTCACACACACACACACACACACACACACACACACACACATATATATATATATATATATATATATATATATATATATATATATATATATATCACGTACAAACAGTCGAAGCACCATGTGCACCATAGCGATAATGTAGATGAATTAATGTAGCTGGTGTATATCAATTATAGCACTCAATACCTCCGACTCAGCGTGGCGCTCTGGTAGCTGTATACTGTATACGTGCTGACGTGTAATCACGAACTCGGTCAGTTTTGCAAGTCTGGTCAGTTATGGCCTTAATGTTGCCTCGAGTGAAAGTAAACATCAAATAACAATAATGGTGATCTTTAATTCCATTCCAACCAAACCTTATTAAATATCAATAACTGTTTGGAAATGGCACATACAATTAAATATAGGCTACATGATTATTTTTACGAATGTATTGAAATCTAAGCATTCAAATTCGACAGAATATACAAGTCTGTCCTGGTAATTGTGCTTTGTGATATTGTTGGAAAGGACAATAGGTATTGTTTCCAAACGAAGGTCATCTTTTGTAGACAAATATCGCCCATATTAAGCGAAACGTTCAGTCCACTGCAACATCAGTTTAAATACATGTGAACATAGAATTAAGTGATCACATGCTTCTTGAATACAATTCGGTGTATAATGCAGTTTTTATGCCACATCTATGGACCAACCCAGCCTTGTGTGACTCTATTGTCTTTCCCGGTCCTCGGTGACAGATGGCACATGTTGCCATGGAAACGTGCAATCGATAATCACAGGTATTAAAACCGCGTCTAAAATAATTGGGGCTTTTTAGTATCAAGTCAACATCTTCTGTCATGAAACACTGTCGTAAGGAGATATATTTATGAAATTAGTAATTCAAAACAAACTTTATTACCATGTCAGTCTTAAACTGTTGAAGTTAAATGTCCTTCACATACATTATCTAAATATTAGTTTTCAAACTAACGAGGGTCCAATCCTTAGATATATTTGCAAAGTGCGCACTTTCGACCTCATCGCCTGTCGCGCCCTGTGTTAATGTTGTGTGACTCATGAAATCGATTGCCGACGCAGTAATTCGGAGATCGATATTACAACTCTTGTCTCGGCTCTCAACACACATATTTTCTGCTAATGATAAACATTGTAAGAAGAATGCATTCACTGCGCCAGTTCCCATATTTGGTGGAGGTTAAAACGTGGATTCCACGCTCCAAGGAACACGTATTAATGCTTGCTGTAGTCGGCCTGCCCTTCGTCGCTTACAGCATGGGCCACTCAATCACAATGGGCGAGCGTCATTGTAGCGTAGATTGCCATATATGGTGACATGAAACTTCCTTATATGGCAATCTCAACCGCTCTTTCCGAGAACCCATGGTCGGGCGGTATAAATAGACAGGCTACCAAGCGAAGGTATTCACTCAAGACCGGCTTTCAGTCAGGAGCATATCACTTCTTGTCAACCTTAAACTTAAACACTAACCATGGATGATGATGTTGCTGCATTGGTTATTGACAACGGCTCCGGCATGTGCAAAGCCGGTTTCGCCGGTGACGACGCTCCTAGGGCTGTTTTCCCCTCCATCGTCGGTCGTCCAAGACATCAGGTAACTTTCATGAATTGATATTTTTGTATTTTAGAAATGATCATACGCCACTTTACTTTATTAATGTAGGTGCACTATGTTTTCTTGCACAGAGATATATTAACATACCGATACGATTATACGTCGTGGTCAATTACTGGCCCACATTCTTTTTAATTCCGATTGCAGGTTTTCGTACATGAAAGTTTTAAATCTTATGATTGGTTGTGTGAAACATGCATGCGTCTTTGTGCAATGTTGAAATCGTCACTGGAAAAGTCGTAAAAGTTATTTAAGAAGACAGGTAAAATGCAGCACCACTTCTAATGATTTCCTGCCCTTCGTTTGTAAATTTCATGTGTCTGCATAACTCGAGTTTCCAAATTTAATGTCGCGAGGCTACACTGCACGGGAGACACGTTGTCACACAAGCCGTCCTACCGGCGACTTGACACACTTAACGACGCCGGTTTAGGTCACGTGACCGTCTTGGGTCAGGTGTGGCGTGATCTGGGTAGTGGGCGCCATGCCCCGAACCGGTATTGCGTACATTATGTACCTTTAGCCCCAGGAGACTTGTTACCCACATAAAACACGATTGTAAATCAAAATGAAGGAACTAGTTAGTAATTCAGTCTTGAGATTCATAGTGATCGAATAAAGGTTTATATTGGTTTCTATTATGCCTGTCCACTGATGGTCGTACAATGAGTTTAGTGTTAGTGGCCTTTTACGATTATGCTTGTCGTATAAGGCGACTTACGTGATTGGTTGGTCAGGCTCGCTGACTTGGTTGAAGCATGTCATCGATCCAAATTGCATGGATCGATGCTCATGATATCAATCACTGGATTGTCTGGTCCAGACTCGATTTTTTTACAGACCGCCGTCATATAGCTGGAATATTGCTGAGTGCGGCGTAAACCAACAAACCAACCAACCTTAACTTTTCTTAAAAGCATTCAGCGATACTTATATTGTTTTTTTTATTTCTAGGGCGTGATGGTCGGTATGGGTCAGAAAGACAGCTATGTCGGTGACGAGGCTCAGTCCAAGAGAGGTATCCTCACCCTCAAGTACCCCATTGAACACGGTATTGTCACCAACTGGGACGACATGGAGAAGATCTGGCATCACACCTTCTACAACGAGCTCCGCGTTGCACCAGAGGAGCACCCCGTCCTCCTGACAGAGGCTCCCCTCAACCCCAAGGCCAACCGTGAAAAGATGACCCAGATCATGTTCGAGACCTTCAACTCTCCAGCTATGTATGTGGCCATCCAGGCTGTTCTGTCCCTATACGCTTCTGGTCGTACCACGGGTATTGTTTTGGACTCTGGTGATGGTGTCACCCACACTGTCCCCATCTATGAAGGTTACGCCCTTCCCCACGCTATTCTCAGGTTGGACCTGGCTGGTCGTGATCTCACAGACTACATGATGAAGATCCTCACTGAGCGTGGTTACTCTTTCACCACCACTGCCGAGAGAGAAATCGTTAGAGACATTAAGGAGAAACTCAGTTACGTTGCCCTTGACTTTGAACAGGAAATGCAGACCGCTGCTTCTTCCTCCTCCCTGGAGAAGAGCTACGAGTTGCCCGACGGCCAAGTCATCACCATTGGTAACGAGAGGTTCCGTTGTCCAGAGGCCCTCTTCCAGCCATCCTTCTTGGGAATGGAATCTGCTGGTATCCACGAAACAACATACAACTCCATTATGAAATGTGATGTTGATATTCGTAAAGACTTGTACGCCAACACTGTTCTCTCAGGAGGTACCACCATGTTCCCTGGTATCGCCGACAGAATGCAGAAAGAGATCACAGCTCTTGCCCCAAGCACAATGAAGATCAAGATTATCGCACCCCCAGAGAGGAAATACTCCGTCTGGATCGGTGGCTCCATCCTTGCCTCTCTGTCCACCTTCCAGCAGATGTGGATCAGCAAACAGGAGTACGATGAGTCCGGCCCATCCATTGTGCACAGGAAGTGTTTCTAAACTTTTGGCTGCATTGATATAAAACGTGATCTGCTCCTTCTGTATTACGGGCGGGGGGAGCTCTGTGGGGGGGGGGGGGGGACCACTTCCGAGGGACGCCCGGCTGAGTTCCCCACGTCTGTTGGACATAATGAACGGCAATTTATTTTATTGTTTCAGCAACTTTTGTTACATTTTTTAAAAGAAAAAAAAAAAACAAATAAAAAAAAATACCCTTTCAATTATGTTACTGTTATCAATCATCAAAGGTTATTGTTAGTTCTCAGGAACACCTATGTGTTCACAACAAGTGAGACCTCTATGTGTAGAAGTTTTGTTTGTTTGTTCCTTAACGCCGCACTCAGCAATATTCTAGCTTGACGTTAACTTTGAGTGAGTGAGTGGGGTTTTACGCCGCTTTTAGCAATATTCCAGGCATATCGCGGCGTCATCTTAATGTGGGAGGAAAGACCGAAGTGATGCAGGTCTCCGACGTTTACCACTTCGGTGAAACCCACGAGCACAGGTATGGTGCTGACAAACATAGAAACATAATTGGGGTGAACCGGGATTCGAACACAATCATAGGTTTCTGACGTACCTAAGGGACGCAACTCTGCACAAAGGAATACTATACCCATTACTCGCGCCCGCGCACACACTCGCGAAATTAAATGGCAAATTGTTTAATATCGGGGATGATGCTAGCGAAACAAGCACAGGGTAAAACTTGGGTATCTTTTCAATGTCGAAAGAGGCGACTAACGGCATCGGGTGGTCAGTCTGGCTTGGTTGATGTATGTCAGTTTCCCAATTGCGTTGATCGATGCTCATGATATCAATCACTGGATTGTCTAGTCAGACTCGATTATTGACAGATCGCCGTGATATAGCTGGGATATTGCTGAGTGCGGCGTTAAGCAATAAACAAACAACAATCAGATCGCCCGACACGGCGACTTCATGCGTAACATCGTACCCCAACAACGTCGACCGTCGCTCATGCTGTCAGTGACTGGTTTCTCTGACATCACCCAGTTTACTAACACTGTGATATAGCGAGACTAGTGCTCTCTGCGGCGTTGTGCAACATGCTCGCGCATATCCATGCTGCAAGAATTCCCACTTGTAGTACATTGCCCCACGGGTTCTCACCCTCCTCCCTTGTTACCCGAATTGCACAGAGAGGCCTATGATCGTGCTGAAATCCATATATCGTGGGTCTGGAAGAACCACCCACTTCAAATATGATGCTTGCCGTAACGGGCGACTATGCTCGTCGTAAGAGGCCACTAACGGGATCGGGTGGTCAGGCTCGCTGATTTGGTTGATGCATGTCGACGTATCCCATTTGCGTAGATTGATGATCATGATATCAATCACTGAAATGTCTGGTCCAGACTCGATTACTTACAGACCCAAAGACCCGAGCTTAATTCATGTTAATGAATCTCTATACGCACACATTCACATACGTGCGCACACACACACACACACGATACAACAGTGCACGCATCATTCGCTCACTGGATTGTGTATATATATTTACATGTACAGTAAAATACGTTTATAACGAAAACGCTTTTAACGAACTGACGGATATAACGAACATATATTTGGTCCTGGACATTTGCATACATGCGAATAACGAACTACGGTTATACTGAACTCAAATCAGTGGTCCCTTGTGTTCGTTATAACCTCCGTTGACTGTATTCACCCATTATAGTTTGGAATATTACGTTTCAAGATTCGTTATCTTGTGTATCGTGTTTAACTAAATGCGTGCATGAATGTTTGGTTTTTATCACATGAATAGAACTGAGGAGACCGAATGACCAATGTGCTTTGTGGGAGAACTGGTAGACAAGAGGCCAATTTGCTGGGCATGGAACGCTGACACAGTTATCTCCCTTGAGGCCTCTTCCCATGCCCGACCAGACCAGTATTCTATCCGGATAGGGACTGATGTAAACGTCATGTATTAGGACAGGTGAGGTGGGTGAAATGGGATTTAACGTCGCGTCTAAATTATTGCACTTATATAGCGACGTGCATGCACGTGTGTTTATGTGTGCGTGTGCGTGTGCGTGTGCGTGTGTGTGTGTGTGTGGCTGCTTGTTCTAGTCCGGACTGATGCCGATTTATAGTAATAGCTCACTGAGATATTATGCCGCAGTTTAACATGAATACCCCACTCGGACACAGTATACTGACTCCGAGCCGACCAGTCCTTGTTTTAGCCCCTTAATGCCGAGCGCCAGACAGGGTAACAACAAGTACCATCTTTGAACGTCTTTTGGTATCACGCGGCCTGTGATCGAACCCCGGACCTCTAGCACTGGACCACGGAAGCGGTCCCGCTCCCACGAATAACCCGTACAGAAGAGTGAGTGAGCATGGTTATACGCCGCTATATATAACGATCTCCCCGCAATATCACGACAGGGGACACAAGAAATGAGCTTCACGCATTATACCCATGTGAGGAATCGAACCCAGGCCTTCGGCGTGATGACTGATTGCTTTAACCACTAGGCTAACCCACCGCCCGAGTAGATGTATATTCTCATGAATCACGGTGGTGACATGTAGTAGTTGACAAGCAGAACAAATATACACAATCATGGTTAACAATTAGTGGTGCATACCCTGTCCATATTTAATAACTGAGCTGTTCTTAAGAGTTTCACAAAGGAAATATATTTACCACAATTGGATGGATGATATGTATTTCGTAAATGATCCAATTCACGACATTCTAAAATAAAATTATATTCACCCACGATAACTTTTACAAACTGAGCAAAACCAAAGTATCTTCCTTATTGATAAATAGAGAATCTCACCCGAGTGTCTTTTGATATCAAATATATAACACGAGTTGATAAAAGTGGAAAAATTCCGAGGCTTGCCGAGGAATTTTTACCACTTTTATCAACGAGTGTTGATATATTTACTATCAAAAGACACGAGGGTGAGATTTTATTTATCATCCAACATCATTCTTTCAACTTTTTCAATTTGTAGACAGTAATTAGCAGTGTCTTCAGTGTAAAAAGTACTGCAAACAGCTTCAGTAGCAGAGCCATTAGTGATGTCATTTGATTGTGACGTCATGGTAACCAGTGACGTCACAATGGTCTGCAAAGCATTGTGATGTAATTTCATTGCAGCGATATCTACAGTGTAGATATCTCTTGATCTCATCCCAGCGATATCTCCTGTGGGAGCCAGTTTTGGATGATAAACCATTGTTATACCATCTACCTGTTTCACCTGGCAGTCGGTGGGTGGAGTTCTAACTTTAGTAAGTCAATTGCGTGGTACAGGGTCAGAGACAATCGACCAGTTGTGTCCAGTCAAACAGAAAGATATCCTCTTTGTATGGAGTCTAAATAGACATATAGGCAGGCGACCCAAATTAAACACACGAAGGGATTATAAATAGACTTATATAGACAGGCGTCACAAGGTTAAACACGTGTAGGGAGTTTAGAGAGACTTATCTTGATTAATGTGGGTGAGTACTAATTGCAGGCATAGATTAATGCATCCGGGTGATGAGTTCGATGGAAGATGTTTCAATCTCTTATATTAGTTTATGGATCCGCCGGAACTAAAGTTTTATTTTTTAAAAGCTGAGTCCATTAGTTCCGTTTGAGTGAAGAAAAATACTTTGATAATAGTTTATTTGTAAAACCAAGTGATTCTATTCCTTGTGCACTCGTTGTGGTAAAGTAATTTGTTGAAGGAGTACCGGTTGTATACAGCACAAAAGAAGTTAAAGAAGACCCGATTCTTTCATAGTACTCCTGACAACCAGACAATGTACCTGGTTGTTCTCTTACATTGACAAGTTATATATACCTGCTGTTGTCCCAGATCACCCGAGAAGATGGCACATTCCATTCGTGAAAACATAACCAACTGCATTTCAGTGATGTGGTTGTGTGAAAGAAACCAAAATGTATAAAACATATTTATGTAAGTATTGTGTTTTCAATGAAGAATAAGGTAACCTGCAGATATTAACGACGCTAAATTAAATTTCAAACATAAAGGATGTAAGGGATGGACCAAAACGCAGCGATGAAGCTTGATGGTGATCTGAATCTGTCACTTTACGTTTGGAGGCGCACCTGGCGGTCATCGCGGTCTGTTGCGGTCTTTTCTTCTTTGCAGGTGTGGATGCAGGTACGACTTTCACATTGCCCATGACACCCACGAGCGCAGGTATGGTGCAGACAAACCAAGACTCAACCCATGATCAGCGGGTCCTGGGACTATTAAGGAGTGAAACTCTGCACAGACGCACTAGACAGGAGCTCACCTTTTCCTAGTATCAGCCAACACTGGATGCAATGGGTTTTCGCTGTTGATTTTCAGTTCGCCTAACATTTTGTGACACCATTTTTTAATGACCTCATGGTTTGTTGTTGAAAAATGACGTCTGAGTCTGATTTTACGAATAATTAACCTTGACGTGGTCATTCTTGAGGTGGTCCTACTGGACCTCGCGTCCTTGTTTTCGCATAATGACCCCGTGAAGAGTAATCAATTGTTTTGTTATACCGAAACTCATGTATAAGTGATTATTTTCAGTTTTATTTTATTTGCTGTCTTCTTGTTTCTTGCAATTACAATTCAGGAGAGGTTTCCCCCAGGAAGATCGGTGAACCGTGTAATACCACGCGGAGATGCTACGTTGTTTTCTAGCAGACGAGGTCAATATCGATCACGTGACAGGTCAATAGTGAT